TCGTAATTTTCGCGAATTGCAAGTACGAGCCGTTTCCTTAGAAAGCAAGTCTTTCTGTCTTTGCCTCCAATCACCAAGTTCTTCGCCTCGAATCAAATCGACATAAAACCATTCTGACAGTAATTTGCAAGTATCAGGAAATTCTTGTTTACATTTATCAAAATGATATTTCAGAGTTGCAGCTAATAAATATGGACTTGGTTTTAGTCCAAATAAAACTCTACTAAAGTTCATTTCTTGATATGAATTAGAACCGATATCATCAGTCCAGAAGAATCTAGTAAATTTTCTATCACTAGGATCGATCAAAATTTGTAGATACGCTTGCTTTATATCCGCTGTGAAGGCGATTGTATTTTGTCGAAACTTTAAAATCATTTCAAATAGATTTGGATACAAGTTTAGTCCTTTAAATAAACAGTCATTAATTGAAAGTTGTCCTCCTTCATGAGAAGAACCATCAAACACGATTCGAAGTCGACTAGTAGATTTGTCCTCGCGAATGACAGCGTGGTGGGGTAAGTAGAATGACTGCTCAGAATATGACACTTCAATATCTGACGACGAATTCTCAATGATACCTTCCTTACGATAATCATCAATTACCTTTTTATAATCCTCATAAAAAGCTGTATCATTTCTAAATCTCCTAACCAGACTATCGAAACGTTTCCGAGCCACTTCTCTATTATTTGCTAATTTCTCCTGCATACCTGGTTTCCACGGCAACTTTACACAATACCTTCCATCTACGAACCCAACAGAATTATTAAATTCATCAAGTATCTCCTGTTCCACTAAAGTCAAACACTCCGCTTCCTTGTTTTCAATACCTAAACTTTCCAGTTCCCAGAAACGCCTGAGTTCAGCTGATACAGTGCTTTGATCACCTAAAACTAAGTTTACAGCAGCCGTTTTACTCATATCACCACAATTTCCTTGCAAGGACCATCCAAGTTCTGTGTTTACAGCTACCAAAGACGTATTTAACCTTTCAAAACCTTTTGTCAAATTCCAATAAAAATCTATACCTATTAACAAGGAAATTTCATTATCATCTGACGCTTGATTATAACCCCACGTTAAAGTTAATCCCTTGGCTTCCATTTCAGCTCTTGTACGCTCATTCGGCAAATTAATCGTCGCCGCCCTCGAAATTTCATCTGTTTCCAACGCCTGTATTACGACTTCATTTCCATCTAAAATATTTCGCAATCTCACTTCAACTCTGCGACATGTTTGCAACCTAGGATCCTTTGCTCCAAATGAATAAATCTTTAATGTTTCTGACCCTAGACATTTTAATCCCAACTTCATAGATACATTTCTTTAATAATAAAACTCTTCTCACTACCGTTATCAAACATTGCAATAACTGTACCTGACGATTTACGACCAACAATTTCTGTCCTAACACACTGCAATAAAATCACATTCCTATCATTTACAACTGAATTCGAAATAGTAGGCTGAATTTCCAATTCCTTTGGTTTTTTTCTTCTTCCGGTTTTGAATTAGATTTACACTTGCTAGAATTTTCAAATTTAAAACAAATAGCTTTGGCGTGTCTACCAAAGCAGAATGAACACTGTTTAGCCACACTCCTTTGAGGCAAATGGCAAAGCCCAATCTAGAAAACGCGCCATTAACGCCGCAAAAGCGACCGCTGTTTCAAAATGCTAACTTAGAAGAATTTCTAAACGAATTAAATTGTAATGCCATACCCGAGAAAAACCTACCAGCGGAATAATTAGTCCGACGGAGCAGGTGGTTCGTTGGACGGAAGGAGAAAGGACGAACAAAAAGACGAGGGGGGCGAAGAGGACTTTGCACGCTGGTTGTCGGACGGGACGGTCGGAGTTTTTTTGGGCGGATGAGAGTCGCCATTTTCTTTCGTAATGCAGAGATTGTTTTTCTCATCCGGCGGAGACCATGCCGGACTTACCTGTTCATGCTTGTACATTTATGTATAATAATCAAGAATTGTTTACTTATTAAAATTATTGTTAAATAAACAAAAAAAATGGGTGTCATCTATGCGTCGATCGACGGTGACATGTGTGAAGCAACTGAACCCTACGCTACGGTATAATACAACGATGCTTATCTGTCTCGGCGCGACTACCACAGTCAACTACAAAAATAATAGTTTAATTTTTAAACCATGTTTTGATATCCTATGGATTTAACAATTTGGGAATTGCCCATGACGAGAATTTTTTCAAAGAAAAGGCATCATTCATTATAGAAAATTATGTTTGAACAACCAACGATAAACTGGGCAGCGAAATAGCGATGCAGGAATCTATTCAGTTATGTTTAGCCTTTTCTTATATAAATTATAATAATGATTTGAAATATTTATCTACTCTTATGCTTCCATTCAGTTATGTTTAGCCTTTTTTATCTAAATTATAATAATAAAAAAGTATAAATATGAAATTAACCTTTCATATAAATTAAAACAATAATCTTTCCTATAATACTTCCTTTCTTGCATTAGGGTTTCCGCACTTATTTTTGGCAGCAACAATAGCATCAACAATAGTTTGGCGATTTTTTACGGTCCTCAAAACGGAATAGTACCCATTTTTCAAACACAACAGATATCTCCTTTCCTTAATTAATTTATCCCTTTTTTGTTGCACAGTCATGTTTTCCCATTCAGTCTTACAATGACCCTGACCGCAGAATAAACTAACTTGGAAAGTTTTCGCTATAAATTCAGTTACTGACGCGTGTTGATTGTTACGACTCGGAGGGAAGTTTCGTTTCTGGTTTCGAAAATTGTTTTGTTTGTGTTGGTTAGAATGAAAATCGTTATATGAAGATACATTATTAGAATTATTACGGAATGCCTTTTCTTGCACCGATAGCATTATGTAAAAACTTCATTACTAATTCCTGTAAATCATAACAATTATTTATATTTTGCTTAGAAAATTCAATTTTCCTGGCAGATTTTTTAGTATTATATTAGTCAGTATTGTTGTGTATATTTCCGATTTGACATTTAATTCCTCTGAAAATCTAATTTGAGTTTGGGCTTCAAAATAAAGGTTTCGAAGAGCCTGAAGCATTTTTTACAGGTGCCAGATTTAATAAATTTGGCAAGTGAGCATTTATTAAAATGTCTCTTTGGCCAAATGTTTCAGAAATTAATTTATCCAGCCTGTTTTTAATTCTCTGGAGTAACTGAGAATCCTTTAATGCTAGCTAGGGCTTTACCACCTAATAACGACTTTAAATAGCAAAATTTGTCAACCTCAGTTAAATTAGAATTGTTATGCACAGAATTCTCAAACTGATTCCAAAAGTCGGTTTAATCCTATAGTATCCGGTGCACACGGGATTTGGCTACGTTTGGCGGCAGTAAAAACGAGACATGAGTAGGGCTAAAGTGCCGAATCGCCCACTTATTTGTTTGGCGCTTTTTACAAGAGTGAGAAGAATTAGTTTTTTGTCAGTTTTCTTTGACTTTTTAAGTGAAAATAGGTCGATGTTTATACATGGATAAAGTCAAGGGAGTGCACAATGCCATTTTGTGCAATTCTGAGATGTTTTTTTAAGTGAAAATAGGTCGATGTGTACATGGATACCGAGTATGTGCAATTCTTAAAAAGGCGCCAAGCAGTACACGATTCTGCACTTTCTCCGATGAGTAGTAAACGAGTCAAAGAATATGTATAGTTATACATAGTATATACTATGTATGTAGTGATAGTATGGAGTGCATAGTATATACATAGACGTTCTTTGGGTCATTTTTGGCAATTTTCAAAATCGCGCCAAGGCTGCACCGTATACTAGGATTTTACCCCAAAATCTAAATATTCTGAAGGCTCTCCATAGAATCGAGGAAGCGAAAGTTTATGGAGTTTAGTTCTTTTTTCTAAATGCAAAGTTTTATTTTCCACGTGATCATTTTCTGGATTTACTGTTTGCTCACCTGACTGATATGGAACTTTTCCAATTGATTTAATTTTATTTTGCAACTTTATTTTTAATTTATTTAATTTTAATTTAATTTTTTTAAATTTTATTTTGCAACTGGTATTATTTTTTCGTTATATTCATCTACTGTGTTAATTTCATCCTTAATTTTTTGTTCTTTTTTCAACAATTTATAAATGTCACTATTTAGTATCTTTTAATTTCAATTTTACTATTTATCCATTCTCAATATCAATCACATACATCTATGTCGATATACGATTCATTCAAATATTTGTTTATTTTTCTACTAACTTTAAAGTTTGTTCACGATGTGTGTCACGCTTAGTTCGAAGCTTTAACAATTCAGCCATTTGCACAGCTTCTAGTAAAAAATTTTACCCCTCAAACTTTAACAAAAAATTCTAATTCTAGAATTCTAAGAAAACAAATTGTAATTTTCAACAAAAAAATCACACTTCAACCATTAACAAATTCTAATTCTAAGAAAACACAACATTTTCTTACTTGCAAAGACATTCGAACTTCCCAAATATCAATGCAAATATTCAGTAAATGCGAAAACGAAAGTTCTAAATTTTGGGGAAAGTGCGGAATCGGCCACTGCTTGGCGCGTTTTTAAGAATTGCACATACTCGGTATCCATGTACACATCGACCTATTTTCACTTAAAAAAACATCCCAGAATTGCACAAAAAATGGCATTGCGCAATCTCTCGACTTTATGCATGTACACATCGACTTAGTTTCACTTAAAAAGTCGAGGAAAATTGACAAAAATCCAATTCTTCTTACTCTTGTAAAAAGCGCCAAACAAACGCCAATCAAATATGTAGGCGATTCTACACTTAAACGCAAATTTTTACCAAACAAGATCAACGACATAAACAACTTTACTACTTCAACAATTACAAAGTATTCTATTCAAACAAATTTTCAACTAAACTATTTACTCACGTAAAAAGATCAAGGACATAAACAACTTTACTACTTCAACAATTAAAGTATTCTATTCAAACAAATTTTCAACTGAACTATTTACTCACGTAAAAAGATCAACGACATAAACAACTTTACTATTTCAACAATTACAAAGTATTCTATTCAAACAAATTTTCAACTAAACTATTTACTCACTCTACATACGAGTTCTCTCGGCGAAGATGATTAAAAACCAACGAATCGAGTGCGAAAGGCGAAAACAACAATTGACGATTGAAGTGTCTGGTATGCAAATTTAGGAAAATAACACTTCTCTGACTCCAATAGAACCAATATTGGTAAAAGTATAGTTTAGGGTACCCCTTGGCAAAACTTGGCGATTTTTGGCGGTACAGGCAATTTTGTACAATTCTTGACTCGTTATTTTTGGCTTGCGAAGCCGATTTTCCGCCAAAAATCGCCGCTACCAACGCACAAGACGCACAAAAAATCAACAGACATACACGAATTTTGCCACACTTTTACTTTGGTTCATTATCGAATGCACAAACTTTTTGCGTCCCACTTAAAGGCAAAGGAGCACCAAAGTCTACAATATAGGCAAACAAAATCCATAATCTCATAATACATTTAAACCAAACAATAAAATAACATAAAAAAGGAAAAACAGTTATATATTTAAGCACTACCAAAAGCAATTTCACTTACCCTATTTAGAAGTTCCTTCGTCTTTATCTGTGGCAAAATCAAAATATCAATCAGCTCAAATGACTTTTTTCAAACCGGTACTCTTTCTGATCGAAAGCTTCACATACGACATCTGAGCCTTTCTTCCTACAAACCCTCAAATGTTTTAACACACAACACCACAAAAACGCTACAAACACCCATGATTCAAAATTTCCCAAATCAGCACCCGTACGCACAATAGAGTTTCCATAACATTCAACTACTCAGGCTACCATAAATGAAACAATAACGTGGCGATAAATCATACAACTTCGCCGTAATACAAGGGGTACCTTAAAGTCTACTCTACTCTATGCTTCTAGATGAATAAACTATATTTTAGGATCTGGCTTCCAAAAAGGAGGAACTTTAACGCTTACCTTGGCGACAGACGCAGTTATTGCTTTAATTTCGGTTTCCTCTTCGTCAGCCATTGTACAATTCGATCACGCTGAGATACACCAGTGAAGTGTCTGGTATGCAAATTTAGAAAAATAACACTTCTCTGACTCCAATAGAACCTATATTTTATTCCTTACGAAGTTACAGATACTTATTTATAAATTTATTTACATTTTGCATGCACGTCGAATCGCGTTAGAAACTTGACGGAACTGAAGCGACACTACAACGATTATTCTTGTACGAATGATATTTTTGTTTCGACGGGTTTGCATCAGTAGTAATTTCATCTCAAACTGGTATACAAAATACATGACGACATATTTCGTTTATATTTAATGAAAACACCAAAATACGTCACAATAATACAAACACATCACAACGGCGAACCGACAGTTACATAAAATAAACACACAGAAAAATTCTTTCGGCGCAACAGCGCCCTTTATACTATGAAAAGTTCTAACAGGCACATTTGTCATAAGCGATAATAACGCCAAAATTTGGTTTATGCACTTTGTTAAAATTATTTTGAAAGTACGAAGAATGAACTTTTTTTCGCTTATGTACACCGAGGTAAAAAAAAAAAAAAAAAAAAAAAAAAAAAGAAAGGAAAGGTGACATTAATTAAGAAATTCGCGAAGTGGATTATTCTGAAACAAATGTGCCAAGATAATTTTTTTAATTTTTGCATAAATTTCTCACCAAAAAGTGCAAAATTTAATACAAGTAAGTATCTAGGCATAATTCAAGTCGCAGAATCGAAATATGGAAAAAAATTTGGCATGTTATTTCAGAAAATGTCCGATTTTGTGTCAAAATACCTATGTCAGAACAATGCTGTATATAAATCTAATTTATATCCTAAGTCGCGCTTTCGAGACATGAAAACGCAAATTAAATTTCGATTATCGGTTCAGTAGAATGGGAGATATACTGTTTCTTTTTTTTTTTTTTTTTTTTTAGCCAAAATAGCTCACCCCTAAATAATAACCGGACTGTAGAGCAAAACTTGTAATTAAGCATATTACTATCCAGTTTGTAGTACTTGATAAAAATAATATTGTAAAGCAGTTTAAATGATATTGAAAATCCAGTCAATGTGTAATGATTAATTAAAGTTTAATTTATTATCAGTAAATGTATTGTAAATATTAATTCAGATAATGCTTAAATGTACACGTAGCTGTCATGATTTAATGTAACTTGTACAAGACAATGATTGTAATCAACATATCTATGCTTATACACAGGCCTTGTATGCCCATGTAATATTTATATGTATATATTTTTTTTTGTTGTGTGTGTGTGTGTGTGTGTGTGTGTGTATGATGGTACACACTATGCACACGTAGTCCAAGGTCTACAAACTTTGCCTCGAGTCGCAAGCGTTTTTTTCTAAATATTACTGCTCGCAGTAAGTTAAAGAAATCTGAACAAGCAAATCTGTGCAAATAACATTAACATTAACCTTTCTCAGAATTTGTTGAGAAGTTTGACAAAGAAAATGCTAACACCTGCGTTTCACAAATTATTTAAGGGCAAGTTTTCTGAATTCAGATTTCTGTATCTTTTTTGTAGCATATTTCCTGCTTTTCTGCACTGGTCATCAAAATTAAAGGACAATGACAGAAATAAAACGTAACCGATACTTAATGAAAAATTATTAATAGGAATTTCTACAAAAGCATTAGTTAACACAAATAACAATATTTGGCCGTTGATTATTCGTAAAATATTGAAATTAAAACCAAATTCATGGAAATTGGAAACGTTGGAAAAATTAAGTCACCTCTTGTGGAAAATTTTTTCTTTAATATGGTGTATGATTTTATAGACTTTACCAAAGTGTTGATTAAGTCTTGTGGAATTGCACACCAGTCTCCTAAAAGTGCTTTTGGTGCGCTGAAATTCCGCGCCCAAAAGGCATCCCACACATGCTCAATAGGGTACGAATCGGGTGAGTAAGTTTATCAGGACTACTGTTCCTTCTAATCTGTTTGGCGAACATGACGTGCCCTGACTAGACAGTGAGTTTGACAACAGACTATGTCCTATGGAGTGTAGCAAAGATGACAAGATGAGAAGGATTAAATTACCCTTTATTTTCCACGATATTATAGCTGCTCTTGGGGATACAAAAACCAACCACTTGTGGTCTGAACGCAAAAATATAAGAACTACTGACTAACTAAAATTTAAATAAAAGCTAACTTTGAATACTTTACACAAATGACTAAGACTGGCCTTTTAAATTATTACGTATGTAGTACGCAAACTGCTGAAAACTACAATACGTCTATGATTTCGAGAGGAATAAAACCTCAGGCCTTAAAGGCAGACAGCAACTGATGGGAAGCTCGCGTGAAATGTAGTGTCAAGGCGGCTCACTTTCTCTCCGTCTAACTGTGCTTTTGGCAAAAAGGCCACAACTTAAATAATTAAGCGTCAGCAAGTACAATTTGCATAAACAAGTTAACGCGTTTATTCTGGCCGGACGTGGAAAATAAGAGAGGATAGTAAAGTTTTAAAATAAAATAAATGTTAGTAAAACTTAAGATCCTTACAAGGTGGCCAGTCCATTCGAGTGATATCTTCTGCTTGTAAGTATTCTGACACCACATATGCTGGATGAAGCCGAGCATTGTCATCTGTTAGCAAAAACTCTGGGCCAACAGCACCCCTAAACAGTCTAACTTGGGGTTCCAGTACCTCGTCCAAATATCTCCGGAACCTCTTCGATAGATACGCACCTCGGTGCGGCCATTTGTCATGATTACTCTTCAAACCATTAAACCGAGTCGCGGAAGCGGAATATTTCACGGGCAAGGGAAGGCAAGTTGTCTGTTCCTTCCTCTCTCCAGATTAAAAAATCTGATGTGTACACCACATGACTTCCTTGTACGAAATATTAAATTATACGCATTTTTTCTTGTATTTATATTATTTTGCGGCAACAATTTGAAAAGAAATACAGCCGTATATAGCGGAAGACGCAAAATCCCGTTTCGTGACTAACAACGTATTCGGTGTAGCATCCTTTTGGGCTAAGAAAAACTGAACTCGTATGAAGGGACGGGCAATTTACTTCCATGACCTCTCCGAGAATCGAGCCCGGGCATTTCGGTACGGCTGTCATAATCACTAACCCCTTTCCCCCCTGGGCAGTTGGCTCGACGAAATCGTAGACGGAATGTCAGTTCTTGTTTGCTTCGCCGGGATGGGTGTCGGCTTTTGTATAAGACTTGCATTAAGTTCAACAGCTAGAAGGCGTGTGTGTATAGGCGTGTATTTAATTATGGCAAAGCACATTAGGGCTATCTGCCTAAGGGGAGGGATGCCTTCGTGGAGGACTTTCTAAGGGAAACTGGCTCGCATACACGTTACACATGGAAAAAACCACGAAAATACCCATGCAGCCAGCCCGTTCCCGCAATTCGAACCTCGGACCGAACTACCAGTGTTCAGCGACTTTACCGCTCGGCCGCTGGTGGGCCAACAGCTAGAAGGAAAAGGTTCAGATTGACCTTCGCAGGCAGTTTGAAGGGTTTGTCATTGTTAGTAAGACGAAAACTACCACTACGTTCTTGGACGAATCTATTTAAAATTTAGGGAAGCTCGCTCTCTGTACGCAATGAGGGCCCAACCGGTATAGCGGTTAGCATCACTTACTGCTGTGCTGAAGGGCCCGGGTTTGAATCTCGGAGATCGCATGGATGTTTGCAAATGCTTAGTGTCCGTGCGGCATGGGGGCACTATAATTATGCGTCGAGACAAAAGTCTGCTCGAGAGGTTGTTGGTAGGGAAACAGGGGTGGAAGACCCTCGAACCAGTCTCCCCGGGGTGCTCTGCATCAAAATTGGGGGTGGAACTGAGCTAAGTAGCACTGTCAACTATAAAGTGCTCAAGGCTGTTGCCAACGACAATCGTAATCTTTCTCTCCTTGCCACGAGAAATTTCGTGGGCTGACTATAGGTCAGACA